ATGCGATTCCTCGCTTATGCTTCACAGCTCACCACCAAGCCTCCACCCTACTGCACCATTACAAACTTTACCTGCTCATAAGTTGCTTGTGAAATGCAGGTTGCAGTTTTGCTATCTATATTTGTAAACCTTATAGACTCTATCGATCTACCCAGGTCTTCCATTCAAAGTTCCATGGTAGGTTGGAGGACTTCCCTTTTAAGGGAAAGGGAGACCGAGGTGCGGGGAAATTTGAAATGTGCCAGATCAGTGGTCACAGAGCGCTTTGTAGAAGAGGAGATTGGATTGGAGTTCTGTAGACCCTCAAAAAGGAGACATAATGGGCAGAAGACTTAAGCTGTCTTGTTTAACGCTTCTAGTAGCCCTGAGTCTCCCATGTTCATGAGACTTGGATTTGAGAACGCCGGTTTCGCACCTTCGAACACAGTTACTTTAGGCAATCTGTTGATGAAACTGAGCTTTGCTTTTAATTTCTCTGTAATTTGCTTGGTTTTAGGCGCACACTCCAGAGGTGAATGGATCCATACGTCATAAGCGAATGTCCCGCTGGGGTGATGACGAGAGTGACTCAGGTATCCGTTTTTGGAAGGGAGGTCCTCTCTCGAAAAAGTTTCATTTACCCCTTATAGAAGGCCGTCTATCCCGACACAGCTTCACGACGTTGAGCCGACGATTTTTGGAAATGGACGACCATCCCAGCAATGGCGACCCCTTTCCGAGGTCAGTATATCTTGCACTTCGGTTGCATGCAATGAAAAGCACATTACGATTACAAGTGGATCCTTTTCATGTGTATGAGGGGTTGGTCTCAGTCAGAACGCGTTCATACTCTGCAGTCGCTCGAGCAACCGGATCGTTCCATCGCCAATCGCTGGACCGCCACCGCCAGAACTCATTGAGCACTGCCGTTGCGGCGGTCCACTGATTAGCGGTAGAGCGGCCCTGCTCGCTGTCGCGTGATCCAATCGCTTCAGAAATCCTATCATGCGATCCAAGCGACCAGATCTCGAAGC